AATCTCATCAATCAATTACACATATATTAATCTAAATTTACAAAATGTTATGTTTTTTAACGGATTAAATGTTGCATGATTATTTGAATTTTAATTTAAATTCAATTACCACGATTTAGCAGAAATTTTTATTAGCAAACAAAATTAGAATTATCCCCTATTATCCAATATCAATTATCCTTCTTTATTCACAAATTCTTATTTAATATTGCACCGCTATTCTTGATTGATCATTTCTGTCATTTTAATTTATAGCTACAAAACAGTCCATAATATACAAATAATTTACAATTTTTTTTCACGTAAAATGAAAACATCGCATTTAAAATATTTTAATAAAATTATAATTGAATAATTATAGTTGAATCGAAAATCACAGATAATGTTACAGAAATCTAAAATTTAGTTTTAGTTTATATATTAAAAATATATCAATTATTACATTTACTATCGTAATAAATTGTTAAAGGCGTGATAAAACGATAAAAATAGTAAAGATACATCAATTTTTTATCGTATAAATTATTACGATGTTATAAATTAGTAATAAAAGTTGAAAAATTGTTAAATTATTCGTCATTGTACTCGATAAACCAAATAAATCATTGCGTCATTTGGCACAATCGATAGAAAACGTACGTTTTCATCAAACTTTGTGACAGTGGCAGCGATTTCCTATACATACGATGCGATAGAGCGGATAGATAATTTATAATATTATCACATCTTAACGAACTTACGTGTCGAAGAGATCAATAATATTTTAACTAAATTTTTATAATATCGAAAACATTTTTTAATCATTTAATGTGAATAATGAAATAAAATTTATTTAATACATTACTATCGTATATTATTTTATTTTTTAATCAATATTTACTTATCGCTTCATTTATTTATCATATTATTAATCATCTGCACATTCATTTAAACATTTATTTTATAAGGTATTTCTTAATATATAATTTTCACTCATTTATTTATTCACTTATTCTTTTACCTATTTATTTCTTTTTTTTTTTTAATTTATAGTTTATTATTTTAATCTATATTTTGTTTATTTATTCATTTATTTTTTCATCTATTCATTTCTAAATTTATTCTTGATTTATTCTTTAACTTCTTATTTATTTATTCTTTTATCTATTCCACATTTATTTTTTGATTTATTTTTCAATTTAATTGAATGTGAGTCGATATAATTACCATCTCGCTGATGAGACCCGGTAATCGATTTCCAATTTTTTTTTTTCAAAATTTTTGTCCACGTCAAAAAAAAATATTCATTTCGTTAAAAAGTTTATAAAATATTTTAAACTTAAAAATATTTTATCATTTATTATGATGGAAATCGATGGCAAGTCAAGAACTACGCATATATGCATATATGCACTCCAATCTAAACCTTGCGCAATTAATTATTTTTCTCAATCATTACAACTGGATTGCATGTAAAATTTATAGAATATTTTGAACTCTCTCTTACTAAGCATTGCAATTCTTGATATAAATTAATTATATAATTTCTTTTTTTCGCTTTAAATGAAATAAGAATATATTTGTTACGTATTATAAATTTAAAATTTACATTATTATTAATTATAATAAGTAAAATAAGATAGATGAAAATAATATCAAGGCATAAATTAAGCCTCGTTATTGTCACAACGTGATTAATTGCAAGCGATAAATTGCTATTGTAAAACACTAATTTAAATAATCATTTCATTCCGAATTAATTTTTTTTTTTGAGATTTATTTAATTATTATTTCTTATTTTTTCTTCTTTTGTTTTTTTCATAATTTATTTAACATTAATTATTAATTCATTTCAATTATCAATTATTTATATTTTACATTTTTCTAATTCATTTATATTAATTATTAATTTTAATGTTTTGTACTTTATTTATATGTTTTTAATATATTTAATTTTTGTTGCATTTAATTTTTTAGTTTTAGGTGTTTAGGTTAGTTTTAGTTTAGTGTTTCGATGCGATGATAGTCACGTCCTCGTGGTAAGATCTGGTTTTTTAAGAGCTGCTAATTGGCATCATTGTCCAAAATTTCTCTTTTCTTTTTAAATTTTCTCTTAAAAAGTGTATATGAAAAATATTTTATTAGAAAGATTCAATAATTTTCATTAATAATTTTTTTCTTTTTTTTTTTTTTTTTTTGAAAAAGGTGCCAAGCTAAGAATTACGCTTTAATCCATTTTTCTATGTTTTCTAATTTAATGAGCTTTTGTATTTCCTTTCTTTTTTGTATTACTTTTTACATATTTATTTAATTTTTATCTTAAATTACTTTATTGTATTTTTAACCTTCTCAAATTCGATTAATTTTTATTGATAATTAATTTTTATACTTAATTTTTATTATATTTTTTTATAAATGAACATTCATAGGATTTCAATATACAAGAAACTATAATTAATATTATATTATATAATGTTTCAATTTTCGCACGGTTAAGTATTATAATAATTAAGTATTATTATTAAATTAAATTATAAATTATTAATAAATTTGCATTGTTTCAACCAATCAAAAAGTTCTAAGTAAGAATATATATATATATATACAGCGCATGGCATCATTTTTTTTTCGTGAAAAATCATCGCGATAGAATGTATGTAGTACTAGTGTTCTCTCAATTATGGGGTAACTACTTAAATCTATCCATTGCCACTTTATTATGGAATTTATAGACTCTATTAAATATTGT